GCACTCTCGGGGGTCCTTTGTGGGGCCTCTTGGAGGCCTCCTGGGCGTCCTGGGGGCTTCCCGGGCAGTCTGGAGGCCATCGTGGAGGGCCTGGGTCGACCTGTTGACGACTCCTGGCTCTCTTGGACCATCTTGCGGACCATCTTGGGGCCGCCCGTGCTGCCCGGAAGCGCGTCTGCAGAAATGGGGCCGTCTTCCGCCGGCTTCCAACGGCGCTCCGCCCGTGACCAGGGGGGGCGGGGGGCACCCCCCCACACCCCCCGGGGGGATACACAACGGGAACCCCTCTTCCAGGTCGTAGAAGAAGAGCAGCAGCATTGTCAAACCCACAGTCCAGAGCAAACCATAAAGTGATCGCACTTTCACCAAGGGCCCAAGGGCGACTGACTTCGTGCTTCGCGCTGCGCGAAGCGCGAGAGCGCGAAACTAACCTCGCGCCGACCACCAGTGGAACAGAGGAGTATGAGGAGGAATCGGAGCCGAACCGCGAAGCGCGGAGCGCGAACAACTTCGCGCCCTCGAGGGCGCCCTTGACGTTCACTGCACTGCTCCGTCCTCGACGCCGACCTCGTCCTGCATCCGCTGGCATCCGCGGTCTTCCGCCGCCGTTCGCCGAGGGCGAGAGGCAAAAGCATCTCCCCGTGAAACTCGGGGGGGGCGCTGTGCGAAGTCGTCGCCGTCGCCGTCGCCGTTGCTGTCGTCGTCGCCTTGCGCCGTGCGTCGAAGGCGAGGGCCTCGGCTAGTAGAGTAGCCAGCTGCACAAACATACAGTCAGAGGCCGCAGTCAGGCCGCGGCAGGCGAAAGCGGCAAAGGATGGGCCGAAGGGGCAAGGATGCAGGGGTAACCTTGGAAAGTCGCTCATCCAAACCATGCGGGTTGACTGTAAGTTAAGTTTTCGGCCCAAGTGCCCCCCCCCCCCGATTGAGGGTCGAGGAGTCGAGGATCGACAACATTGGACGCTTCTGGCCCCTCTGGGTCCTCTGGGCCCTCTGGGTAGCCTTGGAAAGCCGCGCATCGTTATTGTACGGATGCCTTGGGCCGGCAGGCGCAGAAGCCCCCAGCACCCGGCGCACGGAGCGCTTTCAGGGGCAGGAGGCCTCGTCGGCAGACCCAGCACCAACCCAAGAAATCCGCGCGGACCTCGTCGGAAGACCCAGCACCGCACCCCCCCACCAACTTTCTGGGGGGGGGGTTCTGGACGCCCCCCCCTGGTTTTGAGGGGTGGGGGGTGACCCCCCCCTGCCAGCAGCGGCAGAAAGCGCTCTTTCGAAGATCCAGCACCAACCCACGAAATCCGCGCGGACCTCCGGAAGCTTACCCGCATGCGTCTTGTCTTAGGAATGAACCAAGTGGACGGGAGTGAGCCTACGCCCAGAGCGAAAATGGCGACCGAGGCGGCCGCATGGGCAGGCCTCCGCCCGTGGAACACCAAACGCGAATCCTGACGAATACCCTGCAAGGCAGGCGTCGCATCGGGCTCGACCGCTTTCCTTGGGAAGAGCGGCGCGCCGGTCGTGCACGCGCGCGACCGCAAGCTTGAGTACAAACATCATCGGGGGTGGTCGAAGGAGGAGGGGGGAAAGGGAGGTGGTAGCAGAGGGCAAGGGACAAGTCACAATCCGGTCTCTTCCTCCGCGCGCCGAATGGCCCATCACCCTCCGAACAGCACGGGCCCGTCTCCCAAGGCAGAGGAAGGCCAATCACAGCTTACGGTCAGGAACTTTTGCTTAGCGTGTCGCGATGGCGTTCTGGGCGACACGCTATGCCCTGCAAGCAGATAGCGGGCGGCTATGCTCCGCGGGGCACAGGAGGCTGCTCAGTGTGTCGCGCCGAAGTGTGGTGGGCCAGAACTGGCGGCGCGACACGCCAAGCAGAGTCTCGCGACAGGAATGGCAGGAGGGCGAGCTGAGACAACGGCAGCGCAGTATCGGTCCCCAGACACCTCCTGGGGTGCAAACGCACCAATCTTCCGAGACGCGTAAAGTCTTGGCGACGCATCCCAAAAGCCAGCTACGGCCCGACCTAGGACAGAAGAATATCCCTCAAGAACATGAGACCCTCCGCCAGCCAAACTGAAGAACATTCGAGGGTACCCTCCCCCAGGATGCACAAGAGCATCCAACAACAAGCACGAAGAACACTGGGGCACCCTCCCCGAACCGACCTCGATCTCATGCCTCGGCCCGACTGCACGGTCGTCTCCGCTGGGCCCCCCCAGATCTCGACGGGCGAGGCGAGGCGGGGCGAGACCCCCTTTCTGGAGCGCGACGACGGGGGCGCCGAGCACGGCGCCGCACGCGGCGCCTCCCTGCCTACAGCTCGGCCCCACGCGCGAGCCCCAGCGCTGGCAGCAGTGCCAGAGCGCGGCCTGCGCGCCTCCCTGCCTACAGCTCGGCCCCACGCGCGAGCCCCAGCGCTGGCAGCAGTGCCAGAGCGCGGCCTGCGCGTGGAGGGGAGGGCTCCTCCTCCTCCTCCTCCTCCTCCTCCTCCTCCTCCTCCTTCCTCCTCCTCCTCATCCTCCTCCTCCTCCTCCTCCTCCTCCTCCCTTCTCCTCCTCCCTCCTCCTCCCACCTCCTCCTCCTCATCCTCCTCCTCCTCCTCCTCCTCCTCCTCCTCCTCCTCCTTCCTCCAGCCATCCACGCAAACCCGCGAACCCAGCACTCCTCTACACCCATCGGTGTCCGACATCGCGAGAAAGACTCGATGTCGTGAAAAACATGTCGTACCAGATCGGTCCAGTAGAGCCAGCAGGCCCAAATCGGGTCATAACGCACGCAGTCGTTCCTTTCACGACGCTAGGATGCGAGGGCTCATTCTCCTACTAGCTTCCTCTCTTCATCCACCCCTCAACTGACCCATCCCCTCTCCCCTACCTTTTGCTCCCATGCATTCCCCCCATATCGACTCCCTCCCTCCCTCCATCAGTACTTATCCGCTTCCCCATCTCATCCTCCTCCTCCTCCTCCTGCTCCTCCTCCTCCTCCTCCTCCTCCTCCTCCTTCTCGTCCTGTGGTCTCCAGTTGGTCTCGGGAGCACCGTCAGCGCAGAAGCTCCTCCTCCTCCTTCTTATTATTCTTGTTCCTCCTCCTCCTCCTCATCATCATCATCATCAGCAGCAGCATCACCATCACCATCAGCATCAGCATCAGCATCATCATCAGCATCAACGTAATCGTCATCCTCATCCTCATCAGCATCATCATCATCATCAGCAGCAGCAGCATCAGCATCAGCATCAGCACCACCATCATCAGCATCATCATCACCACCATCATCATTATCACCACCATCAGCATCATCATCACCATCATCAGCATCATCATCAGCATCATCATCATCATCATCATCATCCTCATCCTCATCCTCATCATCATCATCAGCATCATCATCATCCTCATCACCAGCATCATCATCAGCATCATCATCATCAGCGTCATCATCATCAGTATCACCACCATAATCATCATCATCAGCAGCAGCATCATCATCATCATCAGCAGCAACAACATCATCATCCTCATCCTCATCCTCATCCTCATCCTCATCCTCCTCCGCCTCCTCCGCGGGCCGAGACGGCCGCACTCCATTTGTCCGCGCAGCTTCCCACAGCAAAGTCGTGGAAGAGTAAGGTGCGCGCGCTGCGCCTCCTGCGTAGCGCTCTGTGCTAGTGATGAATGTGATGTTCGCACGCCTTCTCGCACCCTGGTGCGCCACGAGCAACGAGCAGTCCTGAGTAGTCCTCCTCCTCCTCCTCCGCCTCCTCCTCCCCCTCCTCCTCCTCTTTCTCCTCCTCTTCCTCCTCCTCCTCCTCCTCCTCCTCCTCCTCTTCCGTTTCCTCCTCCGCCTCCTCCTCCTCCGCCGCCTCCATCCGCTCTTCTCTCTTCAGCTTCCTCGTCCCCCCCTGCCTCCCTAACGCCACCCTCTCCTCCTCGGTTCCTTCACTCCCCCCTTGTTCCCCCCCGCCCCAGTTCTTCGTGCCGTGAGTGCCCTCATCCTTTCCCCCGCTCCGCGGCCGCCCTCCGCCCTGTTCCTTCCTCCTGCTGCCGGACAATCAGTACGCTCTGCCCCAGCTATCTATAGCGCGCGAGTGAATTAGCGAATTGCCTCTGCCGCGCCGCGACGAAAAAAGTTCCCCACCCCCCCTCTCATCCTCTCCTCTCGATCCTCCATACACTCCCGCCGTCCCCGCCTGCTTCCTCCCAAGCCCTCTCCTCCACTCCATCCCTGCCCTCGCCTCAATTACTCCATCCCACCTCTCTCCTCCCCCTTCCTCCATCGACGACCCTTCAACCCATCCCATGATCACCCTCTGTCTCAATGAGTCAATGAGGTCGCAGTGGAGGGGACCTTCAGCCACTCCTCATCTACCTCTTGGGGGCGCTACTCCAGAGTGGTGGTACAGGGAATGTGCTGGCGGTGGAAAAGGGCTCGAATGCGCCTGCCCTGAATGCCCCAATGCTCCGTCTGATCTGCTCTGCTACCTTAGCCTCTTCCAAAATCCTGACGGCCGCGTGCCGTGCGCCGCATCTTGTGCTGACGCATGGGGCGCCTTGCCCACAGCGATGGCTTCAGCTTCGAATGATACAGACCGCTTCTGAAGCACAACGCCCCTCGCTTCTCAGATCTCCAGCGTCTTGCTTCCCCTCACGACGTGGGCCCCCCAGAGCTCTCGGCCCACGGCAGTGCAAGTCATGTCACAATCGTACATGCGTTCACGTTGTCTGGCCCTGGCAGAGGTGGGGCCTTTCGGCTGGGCATCCGGCCGCCCGGTCCGCTGAGCCGGACATGCTGCACGCCGACCAGCAGACCCGCAATCGCTTTCTCGCTGGTCCATCGCCCCCTCTCGCCGTCCGTCAGGGAAGGGATGGCCCCCGTGGCCCTGTCGAATCGATACGACGACTGCGAGCAACGTGCTAGGAAGTGGCTTGCGACCGAACACACAACGCGGCATGCGCAGAAGAGAGGCCCCAGGACGCTGTGCCTTGCAGCCGCTGCGGCTCTACCAGTAGCACAGCCGCCAGAATCGCCACCGCCAGCGCGGCGAGGGCCAGCAGCAACGCCGCAGTGCTGCTGCGGCGGCAGGCCTGGAGGGAGGCAGGGCAGGGCAGGGCAAGGCCGATCGAAGGTCATGAGTCGACACTACCATCGCTTTGAGACCCCTACGTGTGGATATGAATGGAGCGGGCCAAAGCTGGTCCTCAACGTCTGTGTACTCCTGCGCGTAAGAGAGGAGGACGGGGAGTGGGAGGAGGACGACAGAGGCTTCGAGAGGGCTTTGGGGATGGCAAAGAGGGACGCGATCAAATTCACTGTAATAATGCAAGTCGCGGCTGCAAGACCCTACTGCGTCCGCCGAGAGGGATCCATCAGCCCCACCAGAAGCTCCACCTGGCCGCCGAGGCAGTGCTTGCTCTTGAGGCGCACGATCTCGGCCCAGCCCTCTTAGTTCTGGCCGTTGACCTCCATCCACCTCTCGGCCTCAGCCATGGCGACCGCCCCCGCTACGCTGGTGGCAGCGGTGGCCGCGCAAGCTCCCGCCACGTCTCTCCGTGCGAAGATCCCGCCTCTGAGCGCCGACACCAGCTGCGCGGCCGCCGCCGCAACGCCTGGCCGGAGGGCGGCGGCTGCGGTGGCGCCGGCGTCGGGGGCAGCACCCCACGGCGCTACGGCCGCCGCACCCGCTGGCGCGGCCGGCACACTGGGGCCTCTGGCCAGCGGGCGCCGCACTGGCGGCCCCTTGTCGTCACCAGGTGGCCGCGGCCGTGGCACGCCCAGGGCGTGCCCCTCCGCGCTCGGCGGCGCCTCCGCGCACAGCCTTTTCCACGCGGCAGGGCCCAGCGTGGCCCGAGGCAGCGTGGGCATCCCGCGCCCTCGCCGGGTGCTATGGGGAGGCCACGGCCTCGGAGCGGCGGGGGCGCGGCCCGGGAGCGGGCCAGCATGGCGTCCCCAGAGCAGCCCTGATCCCAGCCAAGTTGTTGAGCCACAGGGGCTGCAAGGAGGAGGGGGGGCACGGAGGGAAGGGGAAAGGAGGACGAGACCAAGGTGGAGGATGAGGGAGGATGCAGAGGGCGAGCACGCAACAGAACGAGTACGAGAGCAAGAAGGAGGAGGAGGAGCAGGAGTGGGAAGTAGGAGGAAGACGTGACGAAAAGAAAGGGGAGGAGAGGTTGGAGGAAGAGGAGGGACGACAATTACGAGGACGAGAGGGAGAAGCAAAAAGAGGGAGGACGATGACGACGAAGAGCGTGATGGAGAGGCCAAGGGGGGTATCCCCCCCTCTTCCTCCTTCTCCTCCTCCTCCGTTTCCTCCTCCTCCTCCTCCCCCTCCTCCTCCTCCTCCTCCTCTTCCTCCTCCTCCTCCTCCGTAGCCTCCTTCTCCTCCGTTTCCTCCTCCTCCTGCTTATTATCCTTCGTATTCGTATTAGTCGTCTCCTCTTATTTTCTCATTGAATATAATTACGATCATTATTAGTAAGATGTGTGTTTTAGTTATAATGTTTATGGTTATTGTTATGCTTCATCCTCCTCCTCCGTTTCCTCCGTCTCCTCCTCCTCCTCCTCCTCCTCCCCTCCCCCCTCCCCCCTCCCCCTTCTCCCCTCTCCTCCTCCTCCTCCTCCTCCTCCTCTTCCTCCTCCTCCTCCTCCCTCTCCTCCTCCCCATCTTATTAATAATCTTCTTCTTATCATCAGTATTCTGTTTCTTGGTATTATTATTCTGATGATGATTATTAGTGTTTTTCTTCTGCTTCGTATTAGTATTCGGATTCGCCCGTTTGTTGTTACTAATGTTACCCGTATTATTACGATTCGTAGTACTCATACTCTTCATATGATTAGTATTATTAACGGTGTAGCTCGTCTAATTATCATTATTCTTATCAGTCTATCATTAGGATTCGTGTTAGTGAGTTTCATGTTATAGCGAATCAAATTATTAAACGTGTTATCAATATAACTAATGTTTGTATTATTCGTATGTTCCGTGTCCTTATGCTTCGTTGTATTATTACTCCTCCTCCTCCTCCTCTTCCTCCTCCTCCTGCTCCTCCTCCTCCTCCTCCTCCTCTTCCTCCTCCCCCTCCTCCTCATCATCCTCCTCCTCGTTTCCCCTCCTCCTCCTCCTCCTCCTCCTCCTCCTCCTCTTCCCTGCTCCTCCTCCTCATCCTCCGTTTCCTCCTCGTCCTTCTCCTCTTCCTCCTCCTCCTCCTCCTCTCCGTTTCCACCTCCGTCCCCTCCTCCTCCTCCTCCTCCACCCTCCTCCCCCTCCTCCTCCTCCTCCTCCTCCACCACTCCTCCTCTCCTCCTCCTCATCCTCCTCCCGCCCCCCTCCTCCTTTTCCTCCCTCCTCCTCCTCCTCCGCCTCCTCCTCCTCAATTTCCTCCTCATTTACCTCCTCCGTTTCCTCCTCCGGTTCCTCCTCCGTTTCCTCCTCCGTTTCCACCTCCGTTTCCTCCCCCGTTTTCTTCTCCTCAGCCTGCTCCTCCTCTTGATCCTCCTCCTCTTAATCCTCCTCCTCCTCCGTTTCCTCCTCCTCCAGTTTCTTTTCATCGTCCTCCTCGTCCTCCTCCTCCTCCTCCTCCTCATGCTCCTCCTCCTCTTCCGTTTCCTCCTCCGCTTCCTCCTCCTCCTCCTCCTGCTCCTCCTCCTCCTCCTCCTCCTATCATCTCCTCCTCCTCCCTCATCATCATCATCATCAGCATCAGCATCAGCATCATCATCATCATCATCATCATCAGCATCAGCCATCATCATCATCATCATCATCATCATCATCATCATCATCATCATCATCATCATCATCATCATCATCATCAGCATCAGCATCAGCATCATCATCATCATCATCATCAGCAGCAACATCATCATCATCATCATCCCCATCCTCCTCTTCCTCCGCCTCCACCTCCTCCTCCTCCGTTTCCTCCTCATCCGTTTCCTCCTCATCCGTGTCCTCCTCCTCATCCGATTCCTCCTCCCCCTCTTCCTCCTCCGATTACGCCTCCTCCTCCGTTTCCTCCTCCATTTCCTCTTCCGGTTTCTCCTCCGTTTCCTCCTCCGTTTCCTCCTCCGTTTCCTCCTCCGTTTCCTCCTCCGTTTCCTCCTCCTCCTCCTCCTCCTCCTCCTCATCATCATCGCCATCCTCACTTCCTCTTCCTTCTGAATAACTTCTCCCTGTCGCACCCCGAGGCCAGTTTTTAGGGCGGGTCGGGCGTTTCGACTGAGACTTCCTCACCACTTATGACCCAGAAGCTTAAACATTGCCCACATATTCACATATGGAGGGCGGGCCGTTTTCAAAATGTGGCTCTCGCCTTAGCGCCGCACACCTTCGTTTTTTAAACATTGCAAGAGCTTTCCGGATTGAGGGCGCGTCGTTTTCAAAATGTGGCTCTCGCATTAGCGACGCGCACATTCTTTCTAACATGCTGCTCGTCTTCAAATGGTGGCTCTCGTTTTAGCGACGCGCACAATCGTTTCCAAAACTTACAAGAGCTTCACGGATTGAGGGCGAGTGGTTTTCTATATGTGGCTCTCGCCTTAGCGCGGCGCACTTTCTTGTTAAACATTTGCAAGAGCTTCACGGATTGAGGGCGGGTGGTGTTCAAAATGTGGCTCTCGCCTCAGCGACGCGCATACTCGTCTTAAACACTTGCAAGAGTTTCACGGATTGAGCGCGAGTGGTGTTCAAACTGTGGTTCTCGCCTTAGCGCGCCGCACACTCGTCTTAAACATTTGCAAGGTTTCATGGAAATCCATCACCAACGTGCCAGAAATTGTGTTTGAAACGGTTTCGTGACTACGCGGGTGCAACCGTTATGTTGATTCGCTGTGTTGAAGTCCCAAAAATTGTTTTCTGGAACGATTTGGGATTGTCAAGACGCAAAAGTCCGGGTGATCCGTGGCGTTGGAATCCCGGGAACGATGTTTTGGTATGCTTCAGGGTCTTCAAACGGTGGTCTTCCAAAGAGGCAGTTCCTTCGATGGAAATGAACCGTTGTTGGGGCCTATGAAGAGGGAGCTTGGAGGGAGGGTTTATTCCAACATCGTTGATTACTCTTGGGTTTACACTGGTCCTCCTCCTCCTCCTCCTCTTGATTATCATCCACCTCCCCCTCCTCCTCGTCCTCATTTTTTACTAGTCGCATGGATAAGTTGTATTCTTACTGGTATGAGTCGTCTTCGTCTCCTTAGTACTCGCATTCACATTGCTACGCATATCGTCTTACCAAGTAGCATTACTATTCTGATGAGTCCGATTCGCGTTATTGTGCTTCTGCATATTCATCTCCTCCTGTTTCTCCTCCTCCTCCTTCTCCTCCTCCTCCTCCTCCCCCTCCTCCTCCCCCACCCCCTCCCCCATCCCCTTCCCCTTCTCAATATGAATATACTCTCCCTCTTCCCCTGATGGCGTCCGGGTGATGGCCGCGCACCCTCCGCGTACTGTTTTTTAACACACAGGATGCCCGGGAAATCCCGGGAAACGACTCTCGCTGAGGCGCCGGCGTCATTTTTTGCCCAAAATGCTGTTCTCGCGCCGGCGCCCTTTTTTCCCAAAATGCTGCTCTCGTTGAGGCGCCGGCCTCATTTCTGCTCCCGATCCTTCCCCTGATGGCGTCCGGGTGATGGCCGCGCACCCTCCGCGTACTGTTTTTTACACACAGGATGCCCGGGAAATCCCGGGAAACGACTCTCGCTGAGGCGCCGGCGTCATTTTTTCCCAAAATGCTGCTCTCGTTGAGGCGCCGGCCTCATTTCTGCTCCCGAATCGTTCCGAATCGTGCTCCCGCTGCAGCGTGGGCCTCATTTTCGGATCGGTGTTTGGCCTCCGTCGTTCAGGATGGCGTTCTCGCCCCAGCGCGGGCCTTTTTCTCGCGCGCCCATCCGCCCGCCACCACCGCGCCGCACCGCCACCACCACCACCACCACCACCACCACCCACCACCACCACCACCACCACCACCACCACCACCACCACCACAACCACCACCAGCACCAGCACCAGTACCAACACCACCACCATACCACCACCACCACCAGCAGCCACCACCACCACCATCACCACCACCACCACCACCACCACCACAACCACCACCAGCACCAGCACCAGTACCAACACCACCACCACCACCACCACCACCACCACCACCACCACCACCACCACCACCACCACCACCACCACCACCACCACCACCACCACCACCACCACCACCACCACGACAACCACGCACACACACGCACGCACGCACGCACGTGCACCACCACCCACTACGCACGCGCGCGCGGAGCCACAGGTCCGCTACGACACGCGTCCGCGGATAGAGAAAATCAGCGCCATGGTAAGGGATGGGAGGGGGGTAGGACGTCAGATATGACGCGAGCGCACCTAGCTTGCCCCTCCCCTCCCCCTCCTCCTCCTCCCCCTCCCCTCCTCCTCCCCTCCTCCTCCTCCTCCTCCTCCTCCTCCTCCTCCTCTCCTCCTCCTCATCCTCATCCTCATCTCCTCCTCCCCCTCCTCCTGCTCTTTCCTCCTCCGTTCCCTCCTCCGTTTCCTCCTCCGTTTCCTCCTCCGCTTCCTCCTCGTTTCCTCTTCCGTTTCCTCCTCCGTTTTCTCCTCTGTTTCCTCCTCCTCCTCCTTCTCCTCCTCCTCCTCTTCTGTTTCCTCCTCCTCCTCTGTTTTCTCCTCCTCCCTCCTCTCCTCCTCCTCCTCCTCCTCCTCCTCCTCCGTTTCCTCCTCCTCCTTTCCTTCTCCTCCTCCTCCTCCTCTTCCTCCTCCTCTCCTCTCTCCTCCTCCTCCTCCTCCTCCTCCTCCTCCTCCTCCTCCTCCTCCTCCTCGTCCCTCCTCCTCCTCCTCCTCCTCCTCCTCCTCCTCCTCCTCCTCCTCCTCCTCCTCCTCCTCTTACTCCTCCGCCTCCTCGTGCTGCCCCCGCGGATCACCGACGGCCTGGCAGCCGAGCAACACGGCGCAGCGCGCCCCCTCCCCGAGGCCTGCAGAGAACGCCGGACCTGCGCCCATCCGAAGCGTTCTCGCGCGCGCTCCCTGAGCGCAATAGGGCCGCACGCCTCCCCCCACGGGCATGCGCTTCTTCGCGCTGGGTCTGTCGTGGGCCGCTCCTGCATGCCATCCCAGCGGGGCACACTCGGTAGCTCGTCGACAAACCCAGGGCACGCCATGAAACAAATCCGATCTTAATTATCTCGCACCACGAAACTGACACAGATTGGCGGCACCACCCCCCCAATCGAATATGGCGGGCCCCTGGGGCTCTCTCTGGTCTTCCACTCGGGCCGCCACTTGGGCCTCCCAGACCTCGCGGAGCCCCCATTTGGGCCGCCCCTTGGGCCTCCCAGACCTCGCGGAGCGGCTCAAGATCGTTCGCGGCAACCTCGACACAGCTCCACATGATACGAAGAGAGCACCCAGAGGGCTTCAGAGGCCTCCGAGCACGCCCCCGAGAGACCGAAAGATTTCAAAAACGTATGTGAAATCGATACTGTTCGCCCTCTCGCGACCGCGCCTCCGATGAACCTCCAAGGCTTCAAAGTGGCCCCCAAGAAGCCCTTCGACAGGGTCCCGAGGGGACCCCAAGACTCCCCAAGATGCCCCAAGCTGCCCCTCAAATCCCCAAAAGGTCCCGAAGAAGCCCCAAAACGCTCCCATGAGCCCCCTGAAGGCCCCTTTACGGCACCCCGAAAGGCCTCCAGAGGCTCCCCAGAAAGGCCCCAGAAGGCTCGCAGGAGGGCCCCAAGCCTTGAACATCTCTTCCCACAGCCCCCCGTCACCTTCCCAACCTGCCGCACCTCCGTCCAGCTCCCGAGCCCTCAATGCCCCTTAGAGACCACCCAAGAAGCCCGACGATGCCCCCAACACGCGCCAGGGCCCCGACGAAGCAACAAGAAGCTCCCAGAGACTCCTAGCAACGTTTCCTGCCCTCCCCTTCTTAGAGACACCCGCCATCTTCCCAACCCCCTACACCCCACGGCTTACCTTCCCGACCCCATGCGCCCCACACCTCCGACAGGCTTTCAAGGAGGGCGCGCCGCTGGATCTCCCCGGGGGGGAACCCCTTCCCCCCCTTTCCCCGGTCCGTCGTCGGGGACACCCCCCCGTTTTCCCAGTCCGTCGTCGGGGACCCCCCGCTTTTTCCGTCGTCGGGGAACACACACACACACACCCCACACCCCTTTGGGCTCGAAATTCGATCCCCCCCCCGTCTCCCCCTGTCGCCACGCCGCCCCCTGGCTCCAGAACCCGCCCCCCCTCCCGTACCACCCCTCACCCAAATCCTCACCCTGACCCCAGACCCTAAACCCACCCCCTAGCCCTAGCCCCACACAGTACTCCATACTCACTACTCACTACCCACGACCCACTACTCACTACTCACTGCTTCCTACTCACAATTCCCTAGTCACTACTCACTGCTCACTACTCTAAACTCAGTGCTCACTACCCACTACGAAAAATTCACTGCTCACCACTCACTAGTACCCACTACTCACAAAATACGATCCACTACTCACTACTCACTACTCCCTCCTCGCTACTCACTACTCACTACTCATTACTCAATACTCACTACTCGCTACTCGCTACTCCCTACACCGTACTCACTCCTCCCTACTCCCTACTCACTACTCACTACTCAATCACTACCCACTACTCGCTACTCGCTACCCGGCACTCGCTATTCCATATTCACTACTTATCACCCACTAGTCTCTACTCACTACCCACTACTCCCTATTCCCTACTCGAAAATCATCACTACTCACGACTCACTACTCACTATCCATTACTCACTACTCAGTACTCATTACTCGTTACCCCCTAGTCACAATTCGCTAGTCGCTACTCAAATCTCCCTACTCACCACCAACTAATCACTACTCGCTACTCACTAATCACTCACTACTCCTCACTCACTAGTCACTAGTCACTACCCACTACTCACCACTCACTACTCACTACCCACCACTCACCACTCACTACTCACTACTCACTACTCACCATTCACTAGTCGCTACTCACTATCCACTACTCGCTACCTACTTCTCACATATCATTACACACTACTCACTACTTCCTACTCATTACATCCTACATTCTACTCAGAATTCGCTACTCCATACTCGCTACTCACTACTGACTACTCGCTACTGCCTGCCCCCTACTCACTACTCTCACTACTCGCTTCTCACTATTCTCTACTCGCTACTCCCCAGTTGCTACTCACTTCTCACCACCCACTACCCACGACCCACTACTCACTACTCACCACTCAGTACTCACGACTCACTACTCACGACTCATTAGCCACTGTTCACTACTCACAACTGCCTACTCATTCTACTCGCTACTCTCTACCCACTACTCACTACTCACTACTCACTGATCACTACTCACTACTCACTACTCACTACTCGCTAATCACTACGCACTACCCACTAACTTCCACTCACTACTCACTACATACCACCGACTACTCACTACCCACTACTCACTACTCACAACTCCCTACTCCGTACTCCCTACTCAGCACTCACTACTCATTACTCACTACTCACTACTCAATACTCACTACTCGCTACTCAATACTCACTACTCACTACTACCCACTGCTCACTACTCACTATTCCCTACTCCATACTCCCTACCCACCTTCTCCGGCGCAGAAAGGAGCAGCGGGAGAGGCCCCCTCCCCCGCTGTCTGACCGGCGCAAAGGGGGGGGGGGGTCGAAAATCTCACCACCCCTTTGAAGGGGGGGAGGGGGGGAGGCGAGTTCTGCAAGCACACCCCTCCTTTTCAATTTCATGGTGATCCAGTGGCGCGCTTTCGCTGTCAAGCCCTGTCTCCCCCACGACTCCGCCCAAGACGCTCCCACGAGGCCACCCCCTCACCTTCCCAACAGGCTCACATGAGGCCCCCAACACTCGCCAAAGGCCCCGACGAAACTCTGAAAGGCTCCCAGAGACTCGTAGCAAAGTTGCCTCGCCTCCCCTTCTTAGAGACCCCCTTGCCTGTACCTTCAGGGTAGAAGGGGGGGTATAAGGTCCATGGCTCTTAGTGGACATTTATACACCGCCATCCTCGAGGCCCAGGGACAATCCATTGGAGGGCTCCTGTATACAAACATAAAAACAAATACATACACATACACATATATAGAGATAATACATCTGTATATACGTATATACAATGTGTATACATTCATACATATATACATATACGTGTGTGTGTGTGTGGCGGACGGGGTGCCGTTGTGCAGAATCCTGACACTCCGAGCGCTGCCCCCGAGCCCTGGTGCCCAGTCACGGGTCCCCTACCTCCGATCCCAGAGATCCGAACGCCCCCAGAGCTCCCAAGTGTGCACTTGCCCCGAGCGCACGCCATGGGCGCTGCTCTCCTGGCAGCCCGCATCCTCGAGATCGATGCCCGGCTCGAAGCGTGTCGCGACCACACACCTTTCTGAAAGCCCTGCGTGCGCTGGCTCGCCCGTCATGGCTGCCAGGGGAGATACTGACACGTCACCTTGGTCGGATTCACCGCCCCCGACCTCCAGTGGAGGCGGGAGCTGCGTACTCAGTGCCCCCCCCCAACTGGAATGGGTGTTCGACCGTAAGCTCCAAGTCGGGCGGTGCCTCTACCACGGTGAGTCCCCCTGGTATTCTGCTGTCGCCTGACGAGTCCAAGTCGATGGCGTCGGTCATAGTGTAAGTTGGCATCGTCATTCATAAGGCGGCGTGTGGCCCAACACTCCGTGTATACGTCGCCAGTGCCGGGCACGTCAGTCGCGATATCCCAGCGTAAAGCTGCTCAGCAACTACAGGGTACAACGTCGTGCACGCCCCATGCCTCGACTTTCAGTGTATCAGCTTTTGAACTGCGTTGCCAATGTAGCAGCACATCCAAGGGAATGTCCCAGAGGTTAGCGTAGAGCATGAAGGTATTGGCATGTGAAGGGTCCGAGGCTGTGCGAAGATGTAATACGCAGGGTGCCTCCCTTCCATCTCCCTTCCTTCCTTCTTTCCCCCCTCCCTCCCTCCCCGCCTCCCTCCCGTCCTCCTCCTGTTCCCTCCCTCCTCCCCCGCGCGGCTCATCCACTGCAGCGTTCGGGCACGGGCGGGCTGGGCGGGGCCTGCGATCCAGCATCCGCGGTGGGAGGCTCACGAGCGGCAGCCCACAGCGAGTCCTGGGGACCCGAGCAGATACGATGCAGCTTCGTGGCTCGTCGTGAATCGACGGGGGGGAGGAGACATGGGGCAAGGGCCCGCTTCGGACCCAGACTTGGGGGGAATCGTCATCCTGCTCCTGCCCCTTGCTTCTTCGCGAGGTCTGAGCGTTCGGGCGCCCGAAATGGATGCGGAAAAAATGGGTACGATGCCCAACAACAAGCTCTGTCCAAAACAAACCAACAGCGGCCGCTGTTGGGCAGGCGACCTCCCGTCTGAGATGGACAACGCCCACGGCGACACCGACAGCGAGTCCTGTTCAAATGGGCGGGAACTGCTGCCGGTCGAACTGGGAAGGCCCAAACGTACCCTCAGGACGACGTACCCCTAGAGAGGTGTCGCAGCGGCCACGGTTCCAGCCACGGTGGTCGCCCAAACGCACACGTTGGGCGTCCCCAGGTTGACCCCGAGGCACCCTCTCCAGGGCATGTCTGTTCTTGGGTACGTTTGGCCTCCCCCGACCTGCGTGCCCATTCTGTCCGTACCACGTTCGGTCGTCCCGAGAACGGTCGCACGCCGCCGCGGACCGCGCGCCACCCACTGGCCAGGGCGAACGGTCGGGGGCCTGAAAGCGTCGCCTGCGGCTCTCACGTCCCCAGTGCGAGCTGCCCTCCCCGCGGCCGGGGTGCAAGGCGCGGGCTGCCCGCGGGTGGCCGTGGCGCCTCCTCCTCTTCCTCCTCCTCTTCCTCCTCATCCTCCTCCTCCTCCTCCTCCTCCTCCTCCTCCTCCTCCTCCTCCTCCTCCTCATCCTCATCCTCGCCCGCATTATCCTCCTCGTCCTCCTCCTTCTCCTGCTCCTCCGGCTCGACATCATCATCATCATCATCATCATCATCATCATCATCATCATCATCATCATCATCATCATCATCATCATCATCATCATCATCATCATAAGCATCATCATCATCATCAGCAGCATCATCATCGTCATCGTCATCGTCATCGTCATCATCAGCATCAGCATCAGCATCAGCATCAGCAACAGCAGCATCATCAGCAGCAGCATCATCATCATAATCATGATCAGCATCGTCATCATCATCAGCAACAGCATCATCATCATCGTCATCATCAGCATCAGCATCAACATCAGCATCGTCAGCATCATCATAATCATCAGCACCAGCATCACCATCATCAATTGTATGATCATCGGCACCATCACCAGCGTCATCCGCATCAGCGTCAGCATCAACAACATCATCAGCATCATCAGTCAGCAGCTACATCATCATTAACATCATGTTCAACTTCACCAGCATCATCACCACCATCATCGTCATCATCAGCAGCATCATCATCATCATCATCCTCTTCATCGCTATCCTCACCATTAGCATCAGCATCAGCATCAGCATCAGCATCATCAACATCATCAGCAGCAGCAGCAGCTGCACCATCATCAGCATCATCATCGTCTCACCTGTCCTTCGTGCTCCCCTCCTCCTCCCATTCGCTCCTTCGCTCCTACTCCTCCTCGAGAGGCCAAAATGGCAGCGACCTGACTCTGAAAAACAAAAAACTTCGGCCCAGACCCCGAGAACAAGGGGCAAGGGGAAAGGAGGTTTGGCGGGGGGGATGAGGGGGAGGAGGAGGAGGAGGAGGAGGAGGAGGAGGAGGATCCTCAATTCTGATTATCAATCGCGCGAGGAGTATTTTGATTCCTCCTCCTGCCCGCCGTGCTCGTCTGCAGGCTCGCGAGGCCCAGGCTGTCAAAATCACGGCACGGCGGTCCTGGAGGATACCACGCTCTCGGCCAGGCTCCTCGTTCGTAAGGGGTGCTCTGGGGGCCTAAGTTGCATCATTTGCCCAGGTTCTCGCTTCCCTAGGCGTTTGGCCGAGTGTCGTCATGCTGGCACTGTTGCATATCTTTGGGTCCTTCTCCTCCTTCTTCTCATCCTCCTCATCATCATCCCCTTCCTCCTCCTCCTCCTCCTCCTCCTCCTCCTCCTCCTCCTCCTCCTCCTTCTCCTCCCCCTCCTCATCCTCCTCCCCCTTCTCCTAAAACGGAGCCAGAACGACGTTAAATTCGGGTGAAGATAAATCGAGAATCTCTGAGATCCGACGGCTCTGGAGGATGTCTCGGGCGCCTTGGCCTTCTCAGAGCGTTCCAGAATGCCCTGAGAGATTTCCAGAACGCTCTGGAATGGATTTATCCTCTTCGTAGCCCGGTCCGATCTCCCCCTCCTCATCCCACCCATCAACACCCCTCCTTGGCGGCGCGCACAGGGGGGTCGGGAGAGGGGGGAAGGTTTCTGGGAGGGAGACTGCTTCTTAGAAGGCGAGGGCCCTACATCTACAGACGAGGCCCGCGCCTTCTAAGAAGCAGGGGTGGCGTGGCCCTACCCCCCTCTGCACATGGCCGACCTCCCTCCCACACCCCTCTCCCCGCCAGCGCGAGCGCTCGCGCTCCCGAGAACAAAAGGGGGAGAGGCCTCGGGGGCCGTCGCGGAAAGTTTTCCTGTATGAGACACATGGACACATACTAATACTACACGTCCTCCTTGGAGGCGCGCGTCCGACGCGAACGTATGGTACAACCATCTTGAAAAATATCATTTCCCGGGCGGAATGGCCAGAAAGCGCCGGCCACGACACATACACTAGAAGACTTCTCGGTGCGCGCGTCGCCGCTGGGGGGGGGGGGGGGGGCGGCGCACACATAGTATTCGCATGTTGGGGTGAAACCAACTGTATCCATCGGGTGTTGCTAGAAGTGCCCCTAGCCCAAGGTGCCCCCAGGATTTCCAAGGAGGCCCCCACGGCCACTCACGAGGCCCGGGGGACCCGAGGAGCTGCGAAATGGAGAGAAAAGCTGGTGGCACCTTGGGCCAGGGGTACCTTAAGCAACCACCGAATCCACGGGGTCGCGGTCGCGGAGTCCGGACCGCACGAGGCCATGGAAGTGGATGCGCCTCCCGCCTACAAGGGAGCGGCTCCTACCCAAGCGGGGGAGGCACTGAACGGCACTGGACTCCCGACGCTCATGGCTGCCCCAGAAGGTCGCTCCTGCTCGTTCGCAATCCACCGCCACAGCCTGCGGCGCACATGGGCGAACCGCTGCTCCGGCCCCCAGTAGGACGGGCCCTCGCAGGGGCGCGAGCGGAGGGACGAAGAGCAGGGCCGCGGGGGGAGCAGGAGGAGAGAGCGTACGGCTGGTTCGCGTCGCGATGTCGCGAGCGTTGGTGTCTGACTCCGCGTGGATCGTTCAACCTTGAACGATTGCGGCTTTCCGACAGCGCCGATCGCTCGGCATCGGCCGACTCTGGGCCACTGGCGGCGTTCAATCTTGAATGCTCGCGCTGGGGTCGCCGCCGCGCCAACGCGGCGCTAACATACCGTAGGCGCAAGAGGAAGAGGAGACAAACCACCGCAAGACCGACGATGCACCATCGATGCTGCAGCGCACCCTGCGGGCAGCGCCCACCTTGAATGACGAGCGCGCGGACGGACCCGCCCTCCGTCCTCCCGGGCTGCAAGAAACGCGACGGTGATGAGGCTCGAGGAGGTGTCCAACGATGGCCCCGCTTGGAGAGAAGGGTCTGCCCGCCACGCGTGCAAACGCTGCACAGTGCCAACCTGATGGCCATCAGTGTTAGGGGAAGCCCTGTGGCGAGAGCCCCAAGACAGGAGCCCCGCCCGTGCAGTCGCTGCACTTCGGAGCGTACAGAGCATGCAGAAGCCCCCCGGGAGTCGCGCTACGCAAACGGACAAGCCTCCATCGCTGCAACTGTTGGAAACTCTTGGGACGAGTATACGCGACGCTGAGGCGAACCGCATGCTGAAAACTACCCCACCCCCGTTCATCCGTGCAACAGCTTGACTACCTACCAGACCACCCCAACCCAACCCGAAGACCCGAAGTTGACCCGAATCTCGGGTTGGGGGGGGGGTACGGATACCATGTGTTTTTTCAACGTTCCCCGACCCCCCCCCCCACTGGAAATCGAGGATAAATTTGGGCCTTCGGGTTGGGATTGCAAAAAAAAAAAAAAAAAAAAAAAAAAAAACCCAGGATTGCAAAAAAAAAAACCTTTTCGAAGGATTTCAAAAAAAAACCTTTTTTTTTGCAATCCTTTTTTTTGCAATCCTCCGTGCAACAGCTGGATGTGCTCAGGGCGAGCGTGCGCGGTGCCGAGGCCCTCGTCTTGAAAAAGCGGACCAGCATCCATCCACCGTGGCTGCCGGCACCGTCTCAAAAAGGAGTGGGCAGGGCGCGGAGCCGAGACGAGAACGTCGAAAACCGCGAAGTCCTCCTCCTCATCCTCCTCCTCCTCCTCCCCCTCCCCCTCCCCCTCCCCCTCCCCCTCCTCCTCCTCCTCCTCCTCCTCCTCCTCCGCACCCACGTCCATGTCTGAAACTGCGGGGAGCTCTCTGCGATAGCCAAAGAACCGCCAAGTCTCCAGTCCTATTATAGCTGTTGGATCTTCTACCTTCAGGATCGCAGGTTGTAAGGAAGCCTCATGCGTAACGCGTGGCCCAGCCTACGGACACGCCTGGTGGTGCGGCAATGAAGGATCCTTTTTGTAAGGAGGGGTGGCGCGGGAGAAGGGCCCGATAAGGAGGAGGAGGAGGAGGACGAGGAGGAGGAGAAAGAAGAGGAGAGTGAGGAGGAGGGTTATGAAGAGGAGGAGGAGGAGGAGGAGGAGGAGGAGGGAGGAGGAGGAGGAGGAGAGAGGAGAGGAGGAGGAGGAGGAGGGAGGAGGGAATGCGAGCGGAACAGAGCGGAGCGAAGCGCAGTGGAGGGGGGCGCAGCAGGGGAGGGGAGGCAGTGAGGAGGGGCACGGAGTTGGGCAGGGGGGCGAGGGGAGGGGAGGGGGGGAGGGGGAGGAGGGGGAGGGGGAGGGGAGATGGGGTGGGAGTGGGAGGAGCAAGAGGGGAGGCGACAGGAAAGGAGAGCGGAGAGAGCAGAGCAGAGAGTATCAGAGCAGTGGGGAGGTGAAAGGGTTGGAAAGCGCTGGACTTGGAGGGGTGGGTTGCTCCCCTATCACATCCCTGCCCCCAACCTTCCTTGACTTTTTCCTCCTCCTCCCTACTCCTTGTCCCCACTCTCCTTCTCTCCCTCCTCCCCCTTTTTCTTCCTCCTCCTCCTCCTCCTCCTCGCCGTCATCATCAGCATCATCATCGTCATCAGCATCATCATCATCAGCATCAGCATTGTCAGCAGCATCATCATCCTCATCATCAGCATCGTCAGCAGAAGCATCGGCATCAGCATCAGCATCATCGCCAGCATCGTCAGCAGCATCAGCATCAGCATCAGCATCAGCATCAGCATCACCATCACCATCATCATCAGCATCATCATCATCAGCATCATCATCATCATCAGCAGCAACAGCATCAGCATCAGCATCAGCATCAGCATCAGCATCAGCAGCATCATCATACTCATCGGCATCATCATCACCAGCATCAACATCAACGGCATCATCATCACCACCATCATCATAAGACGCAGCATTAGCATCATCATCAGCAGCAACATCATCGTCATCATCATCATCAGCATCAGCATCATCAGCATCAGCATCAGCATCATCATCCTCATCACCAGCATCATCATCATCGGCATCATCAGCATCATCAGCATCATCCTCGTCAACAGCAGCAGCATCATCATCGTCATCATCAGCACCATCATCATCAGCAGCATCAGCATCATCATCCTCGTCATCGTCATCAGCATCATCAGCATCATCAGCATCATCAGCATCATCAGCATCATCAGCATCATCATCATCATCATCATCATCACCACCATCATCATCATCATCATCATCATCATCATCATCATCATCATCATCATCATCATCATCATCATCATCATCGGCATCAGCATCATCAGCATCCACCTTCTCCACCTCTTTGTCCCCAAGTCCCATCGCGGCTCAACGCGCCGCCGCTGCGTCTGGGGCCAGCTCTGAGCCTTCGGGAGACGGACTTGGGACCCCATGCCTGCAGCCTCCTTGCTGGTGGCGGGTGGCGGCAACTGCTTCGGGGGAGAGCAGCCTGCTGCAGTGGGGGGGCTGTCCGAAGGCGCGGCGGCCCGCAGCTTCGCACGAGGCGGACATCGCCATGTGTGGCCTAAGGGGGCGACCGCTGCGCGCCAATTGGCACGGAGGCGGAGGCGCGACGCGTGCGAGGCGGGTCTCCGCCGTCTGCTGCCGCTTTCGTGCTCGAGTGCAACGACATGTGCTCCCTGCGAGCTGGTGGAGGAGGCGCCGAACGTGTTCACGGTCTTCCGGGCCGATTCGCTGGAGTTCGTCCCGCAGGTGGAGCAGGTGGACGTGCTCCTCGGCGCCCTCCGCGCCCAGCTGGAGGTCGTGGATCGCGAGCAGCGCCCCGCTCCCGACGTGATCGGCGAGAGGCTCCGAAGGGCGGCCTTGGATGTCGTGCCGCGCGCCCGCCTGCAGGCTGCCAGGGCTGCGAGTCCAATGCTGACTGCCAAGAAGCAGGTTGTCCGCTTGGCCGAGACCGTGGAGCTGGTGGAGACCACGGAGATCTGCAGCCAGGGCGGCTGAGACATCATGAAGGTCGAGCCCGTGCTGCAGGAGGTCAGGGAGCAAATGTCGACAGTCAACGCGCAGGTCAGCTCCGCGAGGAATTGGGGCAGTCAGCTGACGATGCCTCATGGAGCTGGTGAGCATCGGCGGAGCGCTGGCGCAGCCCGTCAGCAAGGTAGGCTCCGCGGGGAACGGGGCAGTAAGCTGACGATGCCCATGGAGCAGGTGAGCATCAGCGGAGCGCTGGCGCAGCCCTTTGGCAAGGCACACGTTCTGCCTGGCGCGGGGGGGGCGCACAAGCAACCCCCAGCCTGACGAGCTGGAATGCAACGAGGGCGCCGACGCGGAAATCGAGGCAGTCAAAGAACTGGCGGTGCTGAAGGCGTCTCGGGTCGCTTCGGAGCCGTGTGCGGCGTCAAGCGCCATGTCGGTGATGATGAAGGAGCTGGTGATTCCGCTGCGCCGCTGCCGACGGCGGCCCGCGGGTGCTGCGGCGTGCTGAGGCCAGGGTGGAAGTGCCGACGGCCGACGCGCAGAGCTGCAGCGGAGCCCTCATCGACCGCTTCGGCGGGGTCAGCTCCGTCGTGGACCAGGGCGGTCGGCAAGCGCTGGCCCTGGAGCGGGTGAGCATCAGCGGCGCGCTGGTGGAGCCCGTCGGCATGGTCAGTCGCGGAGGACCAGGGCAGTCACCTGACGAGTGCCCGAGGAGCAGGTGAGCATCAGCGGAACGCTGGTGTAGGTCGGCAAGGCATAAGTTCTGCCTGGCGCGGTGGGTGGCAACACCAGCATTCCCCAGCCTGTCTTCGTTGCAGCCGAAGCGGTGAGGTCCGTCAGGGTGGCGAGGGCTTGGGCTGATGTGAGGGAGATGCTCTTGCAGGAAGAGGCGAGCAAGGCCGTGCAGGAGGACGCCGTATCTTCCTCCAGGGCCGCCTCGTCCTCAAGCTCGTGAGCTCAGACGCCCGCGCTGGGTATCAAACGTAGTGATGATGCGCACGCCGTGCGTTCCGGGCTCCGTCCATTCCTACGCACCCTTCGCACGTTTGGTGGCATGAGAGGGAGCTCCACATAAGGCCACAGTGGAAGGGCCCGCACGGCGGCGCCGCACAATTTGGCACACCCCTCGCGGGGACCGTGGCCCCATCGGGAGCTCTACGGCCCCAGTGGCAGGGTCCGCATGGCGGCGCCGCCCGTTGCGGCGCACCTCGCCTGAGAATCGCGTCACAGGAGGAAGCTCCACCTACGGCCTCAGAGGGAAAATTTGCATGCGTACTGCCGCCCGTTTCGGCATACTCCTCACGCAAACCCGACCTACGGCCCCAGCGGGAGTTTGCGCATGCAATCCCCTGGCGTTTCGGTGTACCTCTCACACGTTTCGCGCCCCCCTAGGGAGCTCCACATGTGGCCACAATTGGAAAGTTTGCATGCGCTCCCCTTCGGCACATTTCTCACACGGGCCGTACATGCAGAGGTCGATCACAGATACTACATGAAGCTACTAGGCTAATTTAAAACGGAACGCTCGCTTGAATAACAAGCCCATGAAGCATTCGCATCTCAAGTGGGCGCTTTCCGCAATACATG